TGTTAAATAATATATATATATATATATATATATATATATATATATATATATATATATATATATATATATATATTTAATTATATAAATTAGAAAGTATGGGGCATATACTAGAATTATATTATGAAATAAGAAAAAGAAAACTTAATATAGCTATTGGATGTGTACCTAGAAGTTTAGATAATGAAATTCAAATTATAGATGAATCTTTTGGTTATAGTAGTGCTATAGAAGTATTATAAACAAAATATATATATATATAAAAAAAAAAAAAATATATATATATATATATATATATATTTAAATATATATATATAAATATATTTTAATATATATATATATATATAAATATATAAATATATAAAGGAGGCTTAAAAAGTAATTGAAAACGCATGGGTAGAATCACGTTCTTTAAATAATGGTGTAGGTTTAATAAAAGTTCTTGGATAAAAAACAGGATTTATAGCTATGGGGGCTTCTATAGCTGCTTGTTGTGTGAATGTATGTTTAATTCCAGAATTTTAATATAGGTTATATGGTAAAAACGGAGTATTGAATTATATTTATGAAAGACTTAAAAATAAAGGTAGATGTATTATAGTAATATCAGAAGGGATTAAGTAAAAAAAAAAAAATTAAAATTAATTAAATAAAAAAAAAGATAACTCTTTTGTTGATGTAGAATGCTATTAAGATGATTTCGGAAAATTCTTAAATGATGAAATTAATAAATATTGTAATAAATAAGGATTAGATTCTTAAATAAAATACTTTGATCCGTGCTATATTTTAAGAAGTGTAAATGCTAATGCTTACGATACTAAATTATGTAGTATGCTTTCTTAAAATATAGTAAATGGTGTTATGGCAGGTTTTACAGGATTTGCAATAGGAAATGTTAATAGAAAGGTAAATAATTTATATATATATATATATATATATATATATATATATATATATATATATATATATATATATATAAATATTTAGACTTGTTTTATTCCTTTGTAAGAAATTTTAGTTAACGGAAAAGTTAATAAAATCCATTCCGCAAATAGAAATTGGTAAAGACTTTTGGCTTAAACAGGATAGCCATCATTTAATATTGAAGAAGAAGAATAATTTAATAATATTGAAATATGAAGATTTAATTCAAATATTTTAATTTAAAAAAAAAAAATTAATTATTATTTTTTTTAAAAAAAATTAAATAAATAATTTTTACTTGTTTTTTTAGATTTATATTTTTTATATTTATTAAAAAAATATAAATTATTAAATTTTAAAAATAAGAAATTTTTTTTTCTTTAAATATTTACTTTTTCAAACTCTTTGATTATTTTTTTTTATTTTAATAAAAAAAATAATATTTTAATTATTAGTTTTTTATATATTATTATTTAGTTATTTTTTTTTTAAATAATATATAATACGACATAATTATAAAATGGGTATGTTTATAAATTATAATAAAATTAAAAAAAAAATTAATAAAAGTAGATAGAAATCCAGGATTAATACTTACAGGAGCATTAACAGTAGGTGTGTTAGCAGGATTATTAGCAGAAACATTAGCAAAAAAACATAAAAAAAATAATACAGATATCGAAGAATAAAATGTAGATGAAATAGAAGATAAAAGATAAACTGATTTTGATATAAAATATAAAGTTTCTTCTAGGAGAAAAACAGAATATACAAATAATGAAAATTAATTGACACGTAAAAAAAAAAAAATTATAATATAAAAAAATATAATTAAAAACAAATAAATTAAAATAGAAATGCCTAGATTAAAACTTTAAAAAATAGACTAAAAAAATTATTTAATTTAAGAATTAAAATTTTTAGATTCTCCTTTATGTGAAATCGAAAAAGTTCATAATTTAATAATCGATAGAGTAATAATATTATTATAAAAAAAAATTATTTATTTAAATATTTATAGTATGAAATTAAATAATTTATAAGAAATATATTTATATAAATATATATATATATATTAATATATATATATATATATATATATATATATATATATTATTTTAAAAGGGACTTACTGAAATAGAAACAATAATATCGCCTAAAGCTAGTGAATTAACCAAATAAGCATTTATATACAAAAACAGTTTTATTTTATGTATAAGAAAATAAAAAAATTAATTTAAAATATAATATAATAATATTTATATATTTATATCAATAAATATAGATAAAGTGGAATATGGCCCTACCTGTTTTATTTAATCTGCAAAAAGATGGCTCAGAGCTGGTCCTCGTTATAATTTATATTTCAAAAGTACTGAAGTAAAGGCTTTAATTGTAACATGTGGCAGCATAGTACCCGGTTTAAATGTTATTATAAGGGAATTAGTACACAATCTAATTGATATATACGAAGTAACTGAAATATATGGCGCGAAATTTGGTTTTTCTGGCATAATAGATGAAGATTTTGTCGAATTGAATAAAAATAATGTCAAAAATATCCATTATAATGGTGGTTCTATACTAGGAGTATCTCGTGGAGGATTTAATCTTTAAGGAATAATTACTTCTTTGCACAAAAATAAATTTAATTAGGTATATATAATAGGAGGTGATGGTAGTATTAAATGTGCGCATTTAATATAGCAATAATTATTGAAAAAGAAAAGCAATATTGCAGTTTGTATAATCCCTAAAAGTGTCTAAGGAAATATTCCTATCGCTGAAGAATAAATGGGTTTCTAAACTACTGTAGAGGAAACTGCAAAAGCAGTAGAAGTAGCCTTTGTGGAAAGCTAATCACATGAATATGGGATTGGATTAGTAAGAGTTTTTGGAAGAAATAGTGGTTTTGTGGCTTCGCATGTAGCTGAAGCTACTGGATGTGCAAATGTTGTGCTTGTACCGGAATTTTAATGGGATTTATATGGGGATAAAGGTGTTTTGGAATATATCAAGGAATAATTGGCATAAAAAAAAAGAATCATAATTATTATTAGTGAAGGAGCAGGTTATTTTATAGTTTTTAATTAATATTTATTTATTATTTTATTATTTATATAGTTTATAGTTTAAGAGATGTTGAAATTGGAAATTAAGGATTCGATAAATCAGGAAATGCACTTTTTATTAATGTTGGAGAATTCTTAAAAGATGAAATAGTTAAATTTATGAAATAAAATAATTAACCTATAACTATTAAATATATTGATCCTTTGTATATTACAAGAGCATGTAAGGCTAATGCTTATGATACTAAATATATATATATATATATATATATATATATATATATATATATATATATACTATATATATATATTTATTATTTTTATATAATAGTTAAATGGCTATGAATGCTGTAAATGGTTGTATGGCTGGGTTTACAGGATTTGCTGCTGTTATAGTTCATTCTAAAGTATTTATTTATTATATACATTTTTTATAAATTCATTTTTTTTATATATATAAGACTTGTTTAGTCCCTTTAAGTGAAATGATATCAGGATAATATGAAAATAAATTAATACCTGAAAACAGGCATTGGTAAAGAGTTCTGGCATAAACAGGATAACCTTCATTCTTAAATGATGATGATTTATAATGAATAAAAAAGATATATTTTTAAAATATAATAAATAAAAATAAAATATAAAAAATATTTCAACATTTACTAGTTAAATTTTTAAATCTTTCTTTTGACTTTTTAAATGATTCACCTTCCCAATATACTTATTTACATTAAAAACATTAAAAATACTCGAATTTTTCAAAAGCTCCCTCATATTTAAATGCTAAATGTAAAATAGCTTAATTTCTATCAATTTAAATAATTTAATCACTATTACATTTCACACATCTTGAAAGTAAATTCAAATTATTTTAAGAGATATTAAAAAACTTCAAAATTTCATTAAACTAACCCTCTGTATCTACATTATTTTTAAAAAAATAAACAGGACAATCCTAATATAATTTAAAAAATTTATTATCTCTAGTAAGAACAATCCTTTATTCATTCAAGCTAATTTACTATAAAAGTTAATGATCTTTACTTTATAAATAAGCAGCATCAATTCCACTATTCCTTAAATATTTAGCTAATTTAAAAAGCATATTATCTACTATAAATTTTATATTTTTAATATCCCAGTTTAAAATAATATTATTATTATCTCTAAAGTTATTTTAATTATTATTTTTATTATTATTAATATTATTTTTATTATTATTATTATTTATACTTTATTCTTTTTTTTCTTCATAAATAATATTATTATCCTTACTTTAATACTATTAATCATTTATCTTTTTTTAAATTTCTTTATATAAAACCAATAAAATAAAAGCATCCATAGAAGCGTAATGAATCTGTGTTTTTCTTAAAGGCCTTTAGTTCCAGTTTGATACTTATTCGAATTTTGAAATTTTTCCATTTAAAATTTAAAAAACCATCTCTTTCAATGAAACCATATTACTTTATTTTAATATGTCTTTATATAACAAGCATATATCTATAAATCTATCGTTTTTATTTAGTTTCTTTTTTTTTATTAAGTTTTTCTCTAATTCAATAATATCTCCTTTTATTGTATGTCCTAATATTTAAATACTTTATAATTCAAATAATTCCACCAAAAAATCTTCAAGTAAATCTCCTTAACTTTGCATAAGTAAGCAATCCAGAATATAAATACGCTCAAAACTAGCCAATTAAATAATAGATATTCCTTCTGGAAACCTAGAGTCTAATTTACAAGAATATTCAGCATCAAAACCAATCATTTATTAAGAAAAAATATATTTTTTGGCTTCTTTAAATTGCTCAGAATATGCATTGTCTATAAAAAATATATTTTTACACATTTAAAACCCAAATGACTCCAAATTTAAAAAAGAATTTTTTTAAAAGCCAAAACAAACCTCTTCTGTTGGTCCAAATTCTTCTTAATTTTCCAAAAGCAAATTTTTTACATATTATTATTCGTTTTTGTCTAAAAAAGGTAAATCATGTCTTTTTGCAATAGAAAAAGATTCACTTTTTTTTCCTTTATCATATAAAATTATAATTAAATTTTGTAATAGTTTTTTTGAAAAACTCACTAATTCTTCTACTTTTTCCCATTTTTATTTGTTTATCAATTTCTCTATGGATTACTTTTCGCATATTTCAATATATAAAGGATAATCATATGCATTTAAATTATATTAATTGATTATTTAAGTACATTTATCAATATAATTCTTATTTATAAGTATATTTATTACATATTTAAGGTATTTTTAATCATTGATTTTTTCTAAAATTTAAAGGACTTCTTATATTTTTTATTAATGTAGTAATTTATCTATTAATTCTTCAAGATTTAACATATAATTATTTTAAAAAATTTAAAATAATTTTAAAGCTTCTTAGTATTTTTCATTGAAAATTAAAAATTAATAATGATGTTAAATACTAAATATATATAAAAAAATGTGTTAATAAATATATAAATATATATATGTATATATAATATTCTTTATATTTTTTTTAACTCTTATATATCAATTTTTTCTTTTATTATGAAATAATCTATATAAGATTCTAATATAAAAAATGGAACTTTTTTCCAATTTTTTATTGCTTCAATTTCTAATTCGTCAATTTTATATTCTTACTATTATAAATATATAAATATAAATAAATATATAAAAATAAATATATATATATATATATATATATATATATATAACTTTATTATTTATATATTTTTTGTTTTAAAAAAAATTAAAGATTTATTATATGTTATAATTATACACAAAATATTTATAATAACTACTGCATATTATGTAAAAGCTTTAAAAAAAATATTATATAAGTAGATATTTGCTTAATTTTTTTTAAAAGCATTTAAAATTTTCATGATGTTTTATAAATTATTTATTACATCTTATTTATTATTTTTAAAGTTTTTTATTAATATTTCAATTAATTAATTTTATTAATTATTAATTATTTTTTTATTTTTTTCAAGTTCTTTTATTATTTAATCAAGTTGCTCTTATTATAATTCTATATTAAATAGTTTAGAAATTTATTATACTAAAAAATAGTTTTCCATATTTTTTTTCTTAAATATTTTTTTTTTATTTATTATTATTATTCTAAAATTTATTAATTTTTATTTTATAATAAATGTATAATTTTTTATGATTATAAGTTTTAGATAATTTTTTCATTATTTTTATAAGCATTAATATATATCTATATTTATATAATTATATATATAAATATAAATTACTTTTTTTTTTTTTTTTTTTTTTTTTTTAGAAATATATTTAGAATTGATTTGATTATTTTTTAATCTTAAATAAATATTAAATAAAACAACAAATCAAATAGTATTATATATTAAATAAAGTTTTATAGAAAACAATTTAATTTAAAAATTTAGATTAAAAAATATTATTAATTTTTATAAATATTTCTAATTTTTAATAAGAAAAAATATTTAATAATAATTTTAATAATTATTTAATATATTGTTTTAAAAATAAAATATTATTGAAATTTATTTTATAATTTTTATAAATATAAAAACATTTTATATTTTTTATATACAATTAAAATATTAATATATTTAATTTTAATTTATATAATTTTTTATTAAATACATTTAATTTTATATATTTTATTTATACATATATAAATACAAATTTTATTTATTTATGTATATATTTTTTTTATATATATCATATTTTTTTTATTTTAATTATATCATTAATTTATGAATATTTTTTAAATTTATGAAATATAGTATAAATAATATAATTATTAGGATTATTATTGTATTCAATTTTTTTATTATAATATTAACTTATAATTATATATTCAATTTAAAAATTTTACTATTTAACATAATTTATTTATCTTTAAATTAAAGAAATAATAGACTATGTTTTTAAATTAGTATTTTTAGGCATATAAACACGTTTATTTTTGAAATTAATTTTATAATTATTTTATAATGGATAAGATTTTAAAGATTAATTTTTTTACTATTATGCTCATAAAATATTTTACAAACATAATTATCTAAATTTTTTAATCAAAATTAAATATATAAATAGTAATTTTTAGTAATGTATGATTTATAAAATATTTTTGTAACTTTTCTTGAAATAATTATATTTTATATTTTTAAAAAATAAATTTTTATTAATGATAAAATACTTAAGTATAAAAAATAGCAATAATTATAAGTAAAAAATAATGAAATTTAATATGTAAGAAAATTTATAAAATTATAATTCTAGTTCTTGAAAAAAATTAAATTATAAGTAAATATATTATAAGTAATTAAATATATATAATATAAATATATATATATAATAAATAAATATATATATATATTATTTTTATTATTGTATTTAACACAAATTAATTTTAATATTGTTTGTTATATATAAAAATATTAGCTAATAAATTTTTTTATATTTTAATTTTAATACAATTTTTTTTATTTTGAATGTTTATATTTTATTAATAATTTAAATTTATAATAAAAATTATGGAATATTAATATTATTATTTATTTTTAATTTTATTTTTAAGAATAAGTAAAATAAACATTTTTATGAGATATTATATAACATTTAATATATTTGATTAAATAAATAATAAAATGTATTAATTAATAAACGAATTTTTTTTTTTATATTTAAAATTTTTTTTTTTTCAATATTTAAATCATAACTTATTTTTTTTATATAAAATTTATTTATTTTTAAATTTTTTTTTTTTTTTTTTTTTTTAATATTTAATAAAAATAGATTAATTTTAAATTATTATATATAATTTTAAATTTAAAATATATTTATTAATTAATAAATTATTTTTTATATTTTTTATTATTAAATATTTATTATTTTTTTTAATATAATTTTATTTATATAAATTTTACATATAAATAATAATAATTAGCTTTTTCCAATATTATTTTTTTTTTTTTTATCTTTATATTGTTTTATATTATATTTTTATTTTTATTATAAATGATTATATTTTTTTTTAAATTATTATTTAAAAAAATATTCGTATATATATATTATTTAAAAAATATATATTGTTATTTATCAAAACTTAATAATTAAAATAAATATTTAGATTTATTATTAATATTGATTTTTTCAAAATTATTAAATTATTTAAATAAATTTATAATATATTCATTATAAAACACAAAATTATAAATATTTATAGTCAAATCCAAATAAAATATCATAATCTATTTGATTTATTTACCTATTATTATAGATAATTAATATTATTTTTTTAATTTAAATAATTAATATTTATTTTTTAATTTTATATCTACGTTTTTAAATATTAAGATTCATATATTTTCTAAATTCATCGTTTTAAAATCAAAAAACATATTATAAAATTATTAATTATATAATTAATATCAAATTATTTAATTTTTTTTCATATATAAAACTCTATATATTTAAAAACCAAAAGACGTTTTCAAAAACTTAAAAAATATCTATGTATTAAATGTTAAAAAAAAAATATTAAATATTTAAAAAAATTATAAAAAAAATATAAAAAATACAAAAATG